AAGAGTTTTGCCGACATTTGTCGCAAATGAAGGACAACGAGGAATACATTGATGTAAAGACAGCCGTACTGTCGGACGCCGTAAAGTACAACACATACCACACGTGGATATCGACAGCGCCGGGCATTGTGTGGTCACTATTTCTCGGCCCCTGGATTGATAAGTACCCTAAAGGTCGACAAATGATCTTTATTGTCGGTGGGTTGACACAAGCTATGGAGTCCGCGTTGAATACAATAAATTCATACTACCTTGATCAAGGTGAATTAAATTTAAAAATTGTAAATAATTATTTGTTTTATCAATAAACAATCTTCAATTACATAATAGATGTAAACTGGGTTTTAGTGTCATTTATACCGTACACACTGTCGGGTGCGATGACTTGGATGATATCGTATAGCTATGTGTCGGCCACCACTCCAGTCAACTGTCGGACACTCCGTATGACAATACTTGAAGTAATCCTTAATATAAGTTTGTATTTTATTTTTGATTTAACACAAAATAATAACTATCTTTATTTCGCAGGTTATCCAATGGGCGCATTCATAGCGGGTAAGCTAATAAACCAAACGCCTGTGGGCGGCACCGGACAGCTTCACAACTGCGGTCTTATATTTTTGATGGCCAGTTGTGCAAACGTTGTATGCCTTCTATGGGCTGTATTTCTCGTTAACCAACAAAGAGATCAACAATTGTTTGAGAAATATTTTGGCGATAAAACCAAAAACATAACATCAAAACCTATGCCATTAGTAATGGGCGAAAAAGCGGAGATCACTACCCGTGCCAATCGAGCCGTACATCCCTTACGACTGTTGTTTAATTTAAATAATGTAAAGGAAATAGTGTTGACATGTGTTAAGCGACGGCCCAACTCTGTTAGGGCTCAGATATGGCTGGTGTTTGCGGCACAGTTTTGCGCCTACTGTATATTGACAACACCCACATCATTTTTATTTCAATACGTCCAAAAGGTGTACAACTGGGATTCTGACACCTACTCAGAGTACCAGTCCATTGGGCTCATCATTAACCCGATTGTAGTCATTTTGGTGGGACCCATACTCGTTAAGGTAATTTCTAATTAATTTTTATTTATTTTAATAATTAACTGATGTTTTAATTGATAGTATTTTTAGTTTATTTTAATTTAAAATTCTAATTAATTAAAACTAAAAATTAATTTAATATTTAATTCATTATTTACATAATAGGGGTTCAAACTGAGAGATATGTATCTGGCAATATTGGGTTATTGCAGTTCACTCACACAGGTGTTAGTGTTGGCCACTGTGTTGAGACCCGCCGGGTATTTCATAGCGACCGGTGCTAACTGTTTGGGCGGTTTGGGTGCCATTGGATATAAGGCTCATTTGGCCAAAATAGTAGAGCACCGGGAATTGGGACAAGTGTTTACTCTATTGGCCGCTATTGACGCCGTTTCGCCATTGATAGCGTCGGTCACGTTTACCCTGATATTTAAAGCTACGATAGATACACATCCGGGCACTTGTTTCCTGGTATTGGCCGGAGTGGGTGTCTGTCCCGTATTAATAGCTATAGTTATTGATATTATTAATCGATATAATGTTAAGTCACATATCGATAGTCAACTAAACAGTAAATGCGATAATAATTATAAGTTGAGTAAAACTGATACCAACAGCAATAAATGTCATACAACTAACATAATTGAAACACAATTATGATTACTATAAACAATACTAACTATAAATAAAATAATGTTTATATAAATAAATTTTTTTATTATGACGGTTATATAGTTTTAATAGAATAAAATATTTTAAAAATTACTGTGTTTTAAGAGATTATTTTAATCTTTTTTAATCTAGATTTTATTTAATATTTTTTCATTTTAATATATTTTGAGTATGATGGTGGGTTAATAAGTGATGTTCAATTATTAATATGTTTCTATTATAAAAATTGAGTTAAATTGTTTAAATTAATTTATATAAATTATCACAAAACATATCTTATAGTCTGTCATAACAATTACATAAAAATTACATTTCTATATTTTCACATTTTGTAATTTCGTACCAGGAAAAGTACGGTCCCAAATGTGTGAAATTAGACAGAAGTAAGTCTATATCAAAAATAATTGCGAGGATCGCATGAAATACACGCTAAAGATTAACGATGTAATGCTGAGAATAATTGAATTAGCGTTCATCGCATACAAATCAATAACTATATAAGTTATTTATCTTATTAAACAGCACTTATATTATATTTCTTATTACAATACATATTAATTACTAAATATAAATCTTTACCAAAAGCTAATATTATTTGTTACACAATACTTGAGGTAGAGCCGTAATATAAAAAAACAATTTGATGTAACATCTGATACTATGTAACATTAAATACTATTTAATATTTGTTAACTCGTGGTTTCGTAATTTGCTAACGAACTTAATAGTTTATTTCTCTTACTGTTAGACTAGATACTAGACTCTAGTTGTCTAGTGTTAGTCTAGTCACAAAGTCTAACACGTAAAACAAAAATATAATTTCTAACTTAATCGCTACAAATAAATATCTCGTGATAAACAGCGAATTGTAAACAGAATTAGCCATGGTTATTATTTCAATAAGCATTTTACTTTATGACAGTTATAGTAAGCCATGGATACCAACTAAAGTAACCCAACACCACATCTAGACTGACCAACTCAATAATTGTGTTACCTTGACATTTTTTTAAAAACATGTAAAAATTCCGGGACATTCCTTGACAATTCAGTTAACTCACCTTGACATTTACCTTGGCACTTGTTTTATAAAATATTGTCTAAAAACATGTGAAAAACGTCGCTTAAAGTAAAAAAAAGTGGTTCACTTTTGTAAGTATATAGTAATTAATAATTAAAATATTTAAATTTAAATAATTAAATTTTTATTTTAACAATAGATTTAAATAACTGTTTTGTCAAATATTTCGTCGAAATGTGGTCTCAATTCACAAGTTTTGTTCAGATTTTGGTTGTTTTTATTAATGGGAACCGCTTTCACGATCTCTTTGGCCAAACAGTGGCCGACATTAGACTCTTTAAACGACATCAAAGTCTTCACGTTTACTGCAAATTCAATTTCATTTACAATAATTATAATTCATTTATTTGTCTCATATTTTGCGGACTCAACACAACAACAAGTCATTACAACCGTTGACAACAAATCAGTAATTATTGATTAAATTTTTTACTATGTTTACTTTTATTTAATTAATTATGATTATAATTGTAGTCTATAATAAATAATTAATTAGATAAAAGTATTTATAATTTATAGACATTCTATGAATTAATAATGTGTTTAATGTTTAGAAATGTCCCAAAACTGACGCCTCATCTATATCTCGGCTAACATTTTCATGGTTTACGCCAATGATTATGAATGGCTATTGAAATACACTGAGCACTGAAGATATGTGGCCACTGGAGGCGGACAATACGGCCAGTGATTGTGTCCGACAATTCGACAAACACTGGCGTCCAGTGGCGGAAAACAAGGCGAAACGGTCGGTCAATATATTGCGTCCCATTCTGCGGACTTACGGTCGGAGTTTAGCGCTAACCTCGTTGTTAAAACTGTTGTCAACTATACTTACACTCTCTCAACCCGTAATACTCGACCGATTGATAACGTTTTTGACGGCCACAACCGAACCCGATTGGGTCGGCTATACGTATGCACTGTTATTATTTATGTGTCCGGTGTTGGCCTCAGTGCTGGACGCACAGCACGGGTACTGGTGTGACGTGATTGGTATGCGTATCCGGACATCGATTACGTCCATATTATATGAAAAAGTATGTGATTTTATTTCCAAAATTTAATACAAACTAAACTTTGTTACTCAACAGACTATAAAACTGTCGAGCGATGGCCGCAAAGACATCACCGCCGGTGATCTGGTGAACATGATCTCTACCGACATGAAGTGTATTATACTTTTCCTATCGGTTTACGACACGATATGGTCGAGTCCGCTGAAATTGTTGGTATCAATCAGTTTATTGTGGGCACAGTTGGGTGCGGCCAGTCTGACGGGTGTGATCTTTATGGTAGTTATTGTGCCCATCAATACCTACAGAAACGCAATTCAGGGCCGCCTATTGGCTGAGCTACAAAAGCTGACCGCCTGTCGAGTGTCCGTTATTACCGAGATATTAAACCACATAAAAGTGTTGAAGTTATACGCGTGGGAACAGTGTTTCATGGATAAGGTGTCGACCCTTAGGGATAGGGAGGTAGAGATGTTGGACCGGACCATAAAGTCTAGTGTTTGGACTTCTTGTATATTTAACGCGAGTAGAATTGTTGTATGTTTTTATAATGTCGTGTTTTTAAAATGATCATATGCTTCTTATTTTTAACCACAATTCAGCTCCGAATAATGTGGTCGATATGATCTGTCGGCCCCCTCCCCTAATCTATTCTTTGAGCAATATCCGAATTGTGGTTAATGTATAGCATCGCTATCTAAACCTTGTTTTAATACTATTATATTTTTAGGTAACAATACTTAGTTTCACAACATTTACTCTAATTTCTGACCACAATATTATGGATCCGAATAAGGCTTTTGTCTCTCTATCGTTGTTCACTGTAATAGGTTTGAGATTTGATAAATAATACCCATTACTATAATTATAATACAAGATTGCATTTAGGTGCTCAATTTGAAGTCTTACCTCGTGCATTATTAACCGGTCAAAAGGTTTGAAAACATTAATAAAATATCAGTTTGTTTAATTATTAAGTTTTATTCAATGATTTATGTATTTATAAAAGGTTATGATAATCATTACAAAACTAAATAAATATTTAAACGCTAATGAAGTGAATGAGAATTTCGTTGAACACAAACCCAATCACAGGACTCCTATTGTTGTCAAAAACGGTTCATTCAAATGGGATAACAATTGCAACGATTCTGTGCTCAAGAATATCAATATTACTATTGATAGTAAGTCATTGGTGGCAGTTGTGGGTCGTGTGGGCGCCGGCAAGTCGTCCCTATTATCGGCTCTATTGGGAGATATGGAGAGAAGTGAGGGCTCTGTGAATGTGAGCGGACGGACAGCTTATTGTCCACAACAGGCGTGGATTCAAAACACAACTCTTCGACAGAATATTCTGTTTAATAGTGAATATAATCCGGAATATTATGACAAAGTTCTGGATTCATGTGCTTTGAGACCCGATTTGTCGGTCATTTCCTCTGAAGATATGACAGAAATTGGGGAAAAAGAGATCAATTTGTCCGGCGGTCAGAAACAGAGAGTTTCACTCGCGAGGGCTGTCTATTCAGACGCAGACATATATCTATTGGACGATCCGTTGAGTGCTGTCGACCCACACGTCGGACGACATCTATTTGACCAAACAATTGGTCCGAAAGGACTTCTTCGCCACAAAACACGTGTTTTTGTGACAAATAAAGCGTCAGTTTTGCCAGAAGTGGACAAAATAATTGTCTTAAAAGAGGGATCTGTTTGTGATTTCGGATCATTTGATGAACTAATGGCCAAAAGTGGAGAATTTGCTGAATTTGTCGCCGAATATGTCATTAAACAGGAGTCCGAAGACATCGATGAAATTGAGGGACAATTTCTGGCAAAACATAGGCAAACAGTGAATGAGAGACGAGAATCACATCAATCCGATGCCATAGAAAACAGTGTCCATCGGCTAAGGCGTCAGATATCCGGGAATGATATGAATAACCCGATTGGTGGACACAATGGGCAACAATTTGATGGCAAACTGATCCAAAATGAAGAACAAGCGGTTCCAGCAGCGAAAATGGATGCATTTCAGAAATACTCTCAATTGATTGGCTACCGATGGATAGTTACTATAGTAGTGCTATATATTGTTGGCAATGCGGGAACAGTGGCGTCGGGTCTGTGGCTCAGCCAATGGTCTACCGATGCTATCGGTCACGATGGGTCTGACCAGAGCTGGTGGCGTAGCCATAGACTGGTTATGTTTGCAGTGTTTGGCTTAATTGAAATGCAGTTCATTGTCGGCGCACAACTGGTCGTTAGTATGGGATGTGTTTCCGCTGCCAAACAATTGCATAGTCTTATGATTGAACGTATGATGAGAGCGACCATCAGTTACTTTGGTATTGTATTGTTTGGAGAGAAAGAAAGAAAGAAAGAGAGAGAGAGAGAGAGAGANGAAAGAGAGAGAGAGAGAGAGAGAGAGAGAGAGAGAGAGAACTAATTGTATTTATATGCGGTGACAGACACGACACCAATTGGTCGGACACTCAATCTTTTTGCTGAAGACATGGATCTGGTGGACAGCGGACTCTTTTTTAATTTTAGACTAACGTTTATCAACTTTTTTGGAGTAATCGTATCGTTAATTATGGTATCATTGAAAACACCACTAATACTGTTGGCAATTCTACCCATAATTGTTGTGTACGTGTGGTGTCAACGGCTTTACATCGCAAGCCTACGACAGCTCTTACACGTGGAAACCGGCGCCCGAACACACATTATAAGCCACTTCGCGGAGGTATACAACGGGACGGCAGTCATCCGTGCGTTTGGCGCCGACCGTCACTTTCGCCGGGAGTCGCGCCGCCGTCTCGACGCTCACAACGCGTGTCAATACGCGCTACTCGTGTCCAAGCGATGGCTCGCCGTACGGCTCGAGCTCTTGGGTTATAGTATAGTGTTATTGTCGGCGGTGTTTGCCGTAGCCTTCAGGCATACGGTGGACGCCGGTGTGGCCGCTCTGGCCATCACTTACGCCGTAAATATAACTGTTGTTTTGGGAAAGTTAGTGATGGGAGTGACCGATACTGAGACCGATATAATGGCTGTCGAGAGCTGTCTGGCGTTAACGCAAATACCAGTTGAGGTATTGGTTGAGTTTTTTGGATTAATTTTTTTATAATATAAATGTTATAATTATTAACTTATCGTTAAATTGCATTCATTTTGAAGGCCGAGTGGTATATTGAGAGGACCAAACTCGCGGCCAATTGGCCAACAATTGGTTGCATTGAGTTTACAAACTATTGCACTAAATATAGAGAGGGTTTGGATTTAGTGCTCAAAGATATACGGATTGATATGAAAGGCCGACAAAGGGTTGCGATCGTCGGCCGCACCGGCGCTGGAAAGTCGTCCCTCGCGTTGGCTCTCTTCAGACTCATTGAGCCGACGGCCGGAACCGTTACCATCGATGGCGTCGACTGCTCTACCATTGGATTACATGACTTGAGATCTAAGCTAACGATTATACCTCAAGATCCGGCACTTTTCTGCGGCTCTTTGCGCTATAATTTGGATCCTTTGGTCCAATACCCAGACCACAAAATATGGCGGGCCTTAGAGTCGGCACATCTGAAGACATTCGTGGAGTCACTGGAAAGAGGTCTCAATCATGACATCGCAGAGAACGGCCAGAATCTGAGCGCCGGTCAGAAACAGTTGGTTTGTTTGGCCAGAGCTCTACTCCGACGGACTCGGGTTCTAGTGATGGACGAGGCGACTGCCGGTGCGATACTAACCATTTATTAGACCTATTTGTGTGAAGTAGTAATTGTCTTGTTTTACAGCCATTGACATGAAAACCGACGATAATATTCAAAGGATTATACGCCAAGAGTTTCAGTTCTCGACAATCATAACAATAGCCCATCGATTGAATACTATTATTGACTACAATTTGGTTATAGTTTTAAACAACGGATCGATCGCAGAGTCGGGAACACCGGAACAGCTCTTAGCGGACAACACATCCATCTTCTACTCAATGGCCAAACAGGAAAAACTTGTCTAAAACCATAAAATAGTTACACTTTAAAACATTTTTAATGTTAACGAATAGATAAATTAAATATCACTTATTCTATAATTATAAATAACTTTATTAAACAATATTTATTAATAAAGTTTATTAATAAATATAAACACTATTTATATCAATATCTTAACAAAAAGTAAAAGACAATTAATTATACTGAAGGCCACTTTAAGTTACATTACTATAAATTGTGAGCGATTTGTGTATAAATGAATTCTCGAGTCATGTATTATTGACAATTAAACATTGTATTTATCGTTTTATTGCTATTTATAGTTTATTGCTCGAAAACATACGGGAATTTTTAATTATAAAAATGTCAATTCTATCAATTCAAATGAGCAAAATATAATTTCAACCAATATCTCGCGATGAACAGCGATTTGCACACAGAATTATTCATGGTCATTATACCAATGAGCATGTTACTTTATAACAGTTATAGTAAGCCATGGATATCAACTAAAGTAACTCAACATCACATCCCATGGACTCTAATAACAATCACAAAAACTGTATAAAAATTTTTATTAACATTTTGCTATTTTTACTTTACTTTTAATTCATAAATTTTGATATTAATGATTGAAATTATTACTAATTTTTAAAATTATTAAATAATAATATTATGTTTTAATAGATGTTAACAACAGTATTATTAGCGTTAAGTTTTAATCAACTGTTAAATACAGTCGAGAACACAATTAATGAATACAATGTTGAAGAAGTTGCCAAACTAATTACACCGATTGTTAAATGTTTCACTTTTGTAAGTATAAAGTAATTAATATTTGACTTATTTAAAAGTAAATAGTTTAATTTTTATTTTAATCATAGATTTATATAATTATTTTATCGACTAATTCGTCGAAATGTGGTCTCAATTCACAAGTTTTATTCAAATTTTGGTTGTTTTTATTAATGGGAACCGCTTTCACGATCTCTTTGGCCAAACAGTGGCCGACATTAGACTCTTTAAACGACATCAAAGTCTTCACATTTACTGCAAATTCACTTTCATTCACAATAATTATAATTCATTTATTTGTCTCATATTTTGCGGACTCAACACAACAACAAGTGATTACAACCGTTCACAACAAACCAGTAACTATTAATTAAAACTTTTACTATGTTTACTTTTATCTAATTAATTATAAATTAATAATGTGTTTAATGACCAGAAATGTCCCAAAACTGACGCCTCGTTCATATCTCGGCTGACATTTTCATGGTTTACGCCAATGATTATGAATGGCTATCGAAATACACTGACCGCCGAAGACATGTGGCCACTGGAGTCTGACAATACGGCCAGTGATTGTGTCCGACAATTCAACAAACACTGGCGCCCAATAGAAAACAAGGTCAAAGGGAAGGTCAATATATTACGTCCAATCCTAAAGACATACGGCCCGAGTTTAGCGCTTAATTCGTTGTTAAAACTGTTGTCAACTCTACTTACACTCTCACAACCTGTAATACTCGACCGATTGATCGGGTTTTTGACGGCCAGTGGCCCGACATTGGCCACAACCGAACCCGATTGGGTGGGCTATATGTATGCACTGTTATTATTTATGTGTCCGGTGTTGGCCTCATTGCTGGACACACAGCACGGGTACTGGTGTGACGTGATTGGTATGCGTATCCGGACATCGATTACGTCCATATTATATGAAAAAGTTGGTTATTTATTTCAAAAATTTAATTCTAACTAAACTTTATTACTTAACAGACAGTAAAACTGTCGAGCGATGGCCGCAAAGACATTACAGCCGGTGATGTGGTAAACATGATCTCTACAGACATGACGTTTATAACGCTATTCCTATCGCTTTACGACATAATCTGGTCGAGTCCGCTGAAATTGATGGTTTCATTAGGCCTGTTGTGGGCACAGTTGGGTGCGGCCAGTCTGGCCGGTGTGATCGTTATCGCAATTATTGTGCCTATCAATACTTACAGGACCGCTATTAAGGGCCGCCTATTGGCTGAGCTACAAAAGCTGACCGCCAGTCGAGTGTCCGCTATTACCGAGATATTAAACCACATAAAAGTGTTGAAGTTATACGCGTGGGAACAGTGTTTCATGGATAAGGTATCGGCCCTTAGGGATAGGGAGGTCGAGATGTTGGATCAGTTCATCAGGTTTACTTTTTGGACGTCCTGTATACTCAACGCGGAAAAAATTGTTGTATGTTTTTTATAGTGTTTTTAAGATTATAATTTGCTTTTAATTGTTTTTTACTTCCATATATAGGTATCAATACTTAGTTTTACAACATTTACGCTAATCTCTGATCAGAATATTTTGGATTTGAATAAAGCTTTTGTCTCCCTATCGTTGTTCACAATAATAGGTTTGAGATTTTATAGATAATATCCATCACTATAATAAAACAACATAAATATTACATCTAGGTGAGCAATTTCTAATCTTACCTCGTGCGTTGTTAACCGGCCAAAAGGTTTGTGAACATGAAATGAATAGCAAAAAATATCAGTTAAATAAATTTATTTAACTTTTATTTAATGCTTGATTTATTTATTTAAAATAGGTTTTGATAATTATTACAAAACTGAATAAATATTTAAACGCTAATGAAGTGAATGAGAGTTTCGTTGACCAAAAACCCAATCAAAGGACTCCTATTGTCGTCAAAAACGGTTCATTCAATTGGGATAACAATTGCAACGATTCTGTGCTCAAGAATATCAATATAGAGATCAATCCGCAGTCATTGGTGGCAGTTGTGGGTCGTGTGGGCGCCGGCAAGTCGTCCCTATTATCGGCTTTATTGGGAGATATGGAAAAAAGTGAAGGCTCTGTGAATGTGAGCGGACGGACAGCTTATTGTCCACAACAGGCGTGGATTCAAAACACAACTCTTCGACACAATATTTTGTTTAACAATGAATTGAATGAAGAATTTTATAACAAAGTTCTGGATTCGTGTGCTTTGAGACCCGATTTGTCGGTCCTTTCGGCCAAAGATATGACAGAAATCGGGGAAAAAGGGATCAATTTGTCCGGCGGTCAGAAACAGAGGGTTTCACTCGCGAGGGCTGTCTATTCAGACGCAGACATATATCTATTGGACGATCCGTTGAGTGCTGTCGACCCACACGTCGGACGACATCTATTTGACCAAACAATTGGTCCGAAAGGACTTCTTCGCCACAAAACACGTGTTTTTGTGA